AGCCCATTTTAAGTTCTGTCTTTTCTGAATATAACATTAGAATCATTTGGGGGGGGGGAATCAACCGAAAAATATATTTCAAAACAGTAGAAATATGGTTTTTTTGGGGGGGGGGGAATGGAGAAGTCTTGTAATAAATTCATTTTGCAGTTTGGTAAAGGTTCCCCTCACACCAGTGGTGGGATTCAAATTATTTTTACTAACGTGGCTTTGTGTGCGTGGCAGGGGAAGGATACTATAAACTCCCCAGCCAGAGGCGGTATTTTTGAGTTCCCCAAACTACTCAAAATATCCACTACCGGTTCTCCAGAACTGGTCAGAACCTGCTGAATGCCACCTCTACCTCACACATACGTGCTAGTTGTTTCCGGCTCTAGGGAGCGGTGCTCATCTCCATTACAAAACCGAAAGCAAGCACTGTCCAAAGACATCTTCGTGATCATGTGGCCGGCATGACTAAATGCCGAAAGCACACGGAACGCTGTTCCCTTCCCACCAAAGGGGTCCCTATTTTCCTACTTGTATTTTTTTTACATGCTTTCAAATTGCTAGGTTGGCAGAAGTTGGGACAAGTAACGGGAGCTCACTCCGTTACACAGAGCTAGGGATTCGAACCGCTGAACTGCCGACCTTTCTGATCAACAAGCTCAGCGTCTTACCCCCTGAGCCACCGCGTCCCCTTGCAGTTTGTTAGTAAGGAGTATAATTTGCAATTTGTGGGCTTGATCCTTCATATTTAAAATAGATGCAGTAAAATCCATAAGACTAAACAGAATCACAGTTACTATAAATAAAATGGATTTCCATGCATCTATATTGTCTGATTTCAACTCAGCCCTTCTACATGACTTCAGTTTCACAACAGTGGGAGAGGGACTGCAAATGGAGTAACTTACAATGTTCTTTACATTCAGGTTAGCCCCATAGAGAATCAGGAGTCGAATCATTTTATATCGATTTAATCTCACTGCATCATGCATTGGAGCATCACCTTCCTAGGAGAAGGGAGAAAAATGGATTAAGACAGTCTTGGAAGCTGACTGTCATGCACAATATTGACAATGCTCAACAAAGGATATTAACATGTTGCAAGCAAAATCTGTTATCTCGTCTAAGTGAAGAGAAGGACCAGGGGTGACATGATAGCAGCGTTCCAATATTTGAGGGGCTGTCACAGAGACGAAGGGGCCAAACTATCTTCCAAGGAACCTGAAGGCCAGACAAGGAATAGTGGATGGAAACTGACCAAGGAGAGATTCGACCTAGAAATAAGAAGAAATTTCCTGACACTGAGAACAGTCCACCAATGGAAAAGCTTGCCTTCAGAAGTTGTGGGTGCTTCATCATTGGAGGCTTTCAAGGAGAGACTGGACAGCAGGGGTGTCAAACTTATGTCGTCACATGATGTATCATGACTTTTTCCCCCTCCGCTAAACCGGGCGTGGGTGTGGCCAGCATGTGACACATCTGGTCCACGGGTTGGAGTTTGACAGTTTGCTTGAGCAGGGAATTGGACCAGGTCACCTACAAGGTCCCTTCCCACTCTGTTATTCTAAGTTTTTTTTTTTTTAAAGAGGGTTATGAAATCATGGCACTGAGTTGGAATGTCTGGATAGAAGGCATCCTAAACACTGTTGCTATCCTGATAGAAAAGAACACTGCCATTCCCTAAGTATCTAGAATTCCTCTAGGGAGGGAACAAGTATGCAGATATAGATATGCATCATTTACTTAGCCTGCCTCACTATGCTAAATGCTCAGTGTAAACTAATATCAGCTTCATAAATTATGAGTTATTCACTAATGGCGTGTAATCTAGACAAAGAGCGAAGGGAACGTTTTCTAAGTCTGAAAAACAAGTTGGTTCATAAGTTTAGTTCCTGTACTATTATGGGTGTGGGGGTGTGTGTGATATGGGCTTGGGCTTGGGTCAGGCTGCAGACAGAGATATGGGCAAAAATCTTCACTTTCAGACATTCAGTCCCTTATTCAACAGATTTAGTGACATGATAGTAGGTCCATTGCTTTACAATCACAATGACTTACAATCGCAATTCTGGCCTAAGTTATGGTTGTAAGTTTACCTGTACTAACAATGCACAGCCTTGGCATAAAATATAGAAAGTGGTTATGTCTGGTTGATGGTCACCTTTATTTATGGTACTCAGGGGACCGCTATTCAGTAGCACGAGAAGCCTCTCTCCCTCTCTATTTGAGTCATTTTGGTCCACTTTTACAAGCACAAAAAGCTGCCATTGCACCAGGTGTTCAATATTGCCTTCTGATGGGCATTCTAACCGCACCTACTCTATCCGTTTCCAAGGAAGGAGATGATATACTTACTCTGTCTTTGGCATTCAGATCTGCTTCACATGCAATGAGATGTTCTCCACATTCATACTGGCCTGTCCTTACTGCCACATGCAAAGGACTACTGAGCAACTAATGGAAAGGGGAAAAAAAGTTCAAAAAAGCATAACTGTAGACAATAAACATGGATGGAGAAAAGAATTTCATGCAAGCAGGTTCCAGATTCACATCTTCCGTAATTCAAATTTTGGGTACAATTATCATAAAATACCTTGTCTTTGGCATTTCGGTTTATCCCTTTGTTTAAGAGGAATTTCAGGACTTCTACATTTCCACCTCGACACGTCCAATGAATAGCCGTTGATTCGAGCTACATCAGAAGAAACAAAACAACAGACCAGGAGATTACAATAAGGTAGGAATAATGAAAGCATGGACCTGCTTTTAAAGTATTTAGGTTCTTGGCTGGTCCTTTCGATTGGAAAAACTTTTCAGGTTCCTAGACTAAATTAACTAAAGCCGAAAGATCTTTCAATAAAAGATCCAGATTTTTCTGGGTACAAACCAGCAAGTTAAGACAAAGGAGATGATCTAGGATCATGGTGGTTTCTAAATATAAACAATAATTCCTAGTGATCAAGACTTGATTAAATTGTATTCATTTAGGAACATAAGCACAGATTTATTCCCGGTTACTCTTTCCTGTTTTGACCAATAGCTGCAGGTAGTCCTCAATTTATGACCACAATTGAGCCCAAAAGTTATGTTGCTGTGTGAGAAATTTGTGAAGTGTTAAATTTTGCCTTGTTTTTATGATTTTTCTCGCCGCATTTTCTTGTGAAGTGAATCACTGCTGTTGTTAAATTAGTAACCCGGTCGTTAAGTGAATCTGGCTTCCCCTCTGACTGGTCAGAAAGTTGCAAAAGGTGATCACATGACCCCAGATACACTGCAACCATCATAAGTGGGAGTCCATTGTCAAACATCCAAATGTAAATCATGTGACCAAAAGGGGTCCTGCAATGGTCATAAGTGTAAAAAATAATAATAAGCCACCTTGTCACTGCCTTCAAACGGTCACTAAGTGAACTACTATAAGTTGAGGACCATCTGTTTTAGGTCCTAGTGATCAAACCAAATGCCTTTCTCCATCTAGTTCTCTATATAAAATATACATTTTATTATTAAAGCTGCAGCCCGCCTTCGGTGCTCACTGGATATGTTCAACTCCTCTTGGATTAATTTAGTCACATAGGCAGTACGACAGAAAGCCCTGCCACTTGACCAGAAGAACATAACTTGGCACGGAGGCTGAGAAAGTCATGTGTGTATCATTGGAGCAGAAGCATACCCTTAGAAGGCAACTTATCATGAAGTCCCTTTTATGAATTGTACAGTGCAGTAAACAACAGTCTCCTTCAGCAATTACATCTGACCAGAGGCATGCAGGAATAACAGGGAGTGAAGCCTTATCTGCTGGCCCCACTCCAAACAACTCACGCCCCTATTATCCTGCTCACTTCTTCATGTCAACTGGGAAGTCAACCTGAGAGGAGGGCTTGTTGTCTACATCAAAAGTTTGCTTGATGTGATGGAGAATATGAATGAAGCAGATTCCTGGTGTGGCTTCATTCATAGTCAAGTTAATTTTAAAGACACCTCCTCCACCACCACCGAATGAACACAAGGAGACCAGGCATGTATGATATGAGGTGGACGTGTTAATTCTGTCTCTTCCCTTGTGTTAGCATACTCCTATTAAAATGATAATGGATAGGCAAATGCCTTCTCTTTCTCATAATTCTTTCAGATGTTTTGCATGCTTGTGAAGAACAAGGGTAAGTGCACACAGTTTCTGCTTACCATATCTTGGAATTCAAGTTGAGCCCCAGCTGCTACTAACTTTTCCACAATTTCCAGATGTCCTTGTGAGCATGCCCTGTGCAAGGCTGTACGCCTGTACTGTCAATTGGAAGACAAATAGCACAATCAATAATAAACAACTGCCTTTCTTTAATTTTTAAAGCATTATTTCCCCCTCCCTCTTTCTCCTGGTGATTTTTCTAATCTATAGCTCTCAGATTTCCTGGTGGTCATATCAGTACTAGCAGAAGTAATATTGTTTAGCTCTATGGATCAGCCTGATATTAACTAAGTATTGCCATCTAGATTGTGTATATGTAAGACACCAGCCAGAGCATAGAACAACTCAAAGAAGAAATATGTCATGCTCTTGGTGGAGACTGACTCTGAGGAACAGCCGACAGGGAGTGGAAGTGTGGCTCCAGAGGTTGTGGAGGAGGCTGGAGAAGGGCAGAGGCCAGCTCAGCAGTCAGAGGAGGACCCAGGCCCATCCCCTATCCATCCTAAGGCACGCAGGGAGAAGAGGATAAGGGAGAGACGTGGTCTCCTCGGGAGGAGAGGGCCTTGATCCTCTTCACGGGCTGCAGGTGTGACAACTGAATAAGAGTTTGGACCTGCGTACTGGCAAATGCTGGAAACAAAGTATGTAAATATCTCTAGTTTATAGTTCCTCTCTGAGTTTGGCGCCCTTCCCAGTGTGTGTTATCTGTGGACGTCCTCCAGCCCTTATCTTGCCTGGTTTGTGTGGCTTTTTTCCTTCTTCGTGTAACTGTATGGGAGTTTTTTTGTCTTCCGTCAAAGATATTCGGAGCTTGGAAGCAAAGTGAAGGAATAAAAGGGGCTTCCCCTGTTTTCTGTGACTGTGTTTGTTTTGTATCCCACCCAGGGTCATCACAAAATACAACATTGGAAGATGTGGAAAGATTTGGCCCATATAATCATCAACAGGGGAAGGGGATGAGAGAGAGGGAGAGGGAGAGGCGAGGGAGGGGAGGAGAGGGAGAGAGAAAGGAAATAAAAAATATTAAGTATTGGATGTAACTGTCTATGGAGATAATTGCTAAGGTGCTTTTTCAAGAGGCAGCTGGACTTTCTTTGTTTTTCCTTGAAGGCGTTTCACTTCTCATCTAAGAAGCTTCTTCGGTTCTGACTGAAGGTTGAGGAATGGAAAGATTTTCAGTCATCTGGTCATTGGCACTTTTTCTGAGGTTACTTGAAGGTTTACCTGGGCCCTCAGGGTCACCTGAATAGTGCAGATGGGAACTGCTGAACTGCTACTGGGTGTGTAACGCTTAAGTCAGACTTTTGTTTTTCCACAGTGTTGGTGGAAGAAAGACTGGATTACACTCTAAGAAAACAGACACTCTAAAACTATTTTGAAAGTTGTTGCCTCCCCTCCCAGAAAAACCTGGAAACTGGATGTAGAAAGCTGTTTCAAAGGCAACAATTCATTGAGCTACAGCTTCTAGTATCCTTTAAGGGGTGTGGGGGAACTGTTCAATTAGGATCAAATATATAGTACAGAAATCAGTCAAAGCCAACGTACCTCATCACAAGCATCTGGGTCTCCTTTGTCTGCTAAATACTTTTCAATCACTGGCATTTTGTTCTCCAAGGCAGCTTTTAAAAACGTGGGAACATCCACAGGTCCTGTCTGATATAGACAAGAAAGAACTCATCATTATTGGGAGATGCCAATAAATGCAGAACAGAAAGAAATTAAAATACTTTGTCGCTTGAACGTACTATAACTTCCTGCTTGGGCTCCTTCTCCACTGGAGCCTTGACCTTCTTCACTTTTTTCCTTTTCTTAAGAGTGATGATTTTTTCAAGGTCTTCCAAATTGTCAAGCTTTGTTCTTGCCTCTAGTTTCTTTTTCTTGAGCTGGACAAAAGGAATGAACAGGACAGTAAGATGGTTTGTATGTGACTGTCCCGAAATAAATATAGCAGAGGTGGGTATTCAGCAGGTTCTGACCAGTTCTGGAGAACCAGTAGCGGAAAGTTTGAGTCATTCAGAGAACCGGCAAATACAACCTCTGACTGGTCCCGCCCCCATCTATTCTCTGCCTCCCGAGTCCCAGCTGATAGGCTGGGTCTTCTTTGGTTGCCCTGCACAGGAGAATGGAGCTGGGAAGCAGGTTAGCGGGGTGGGGGGGAAATGGGGATTTTGCAGTATCCTTCCCCTGCCACGCCCACCAGCCACGCCTATCAAGCCACCAAGCCACGCCCACAGAACGGGTAGTAAAATCTTTTGAATTCCACCATTGAAATATAGTATTAACATGTGACTCTCAAGGAATCTCAAGCATTACCAACCATGCTAAAAAGAGGAAAATCTTCATCCCCAGATCTGTAGCTTTTTACTGTTCCTATCTCTCCCACACCTCACCGATGCTTCAGGGCAGTGTGTACAGCAGTTGAGTCTCATAGTGTTCAATGAGCACATTTCTCTAAAACAGAGGTCTCCAAACTTGGCAACTTTAAGACTTGTGGACTTCAACTCCCAGAATTCTCCAGCCAGCAATTTTGGAGACCCCTTCTCTAAAGGAATCCCATGATTGCATAAGTTTTAATAGTGTCTTGACAGGTGACATTACTGAGTTTTTGATTTGTTTCTTAAGCTCAGTAGTCATGTGCTAAGCTGTCCTGCTGATGTGCAGGAGTACAGAAGCCTGGCACCCTGACAAATCAGCCATCAATAAACACATAGACATTAACAACATATCTAGACTATGCAAAAGAGACAATCAACCATCCCAAAAGAGAACAAAAAAAAAAAAAAGACTCCAGCATCTCTCTATCAGTAATCAGCACCGGATCAGCATAGATTAACTCCAAGGTTAACATCAGACCAACACTCAAGTAAAAAATGTCCCAATCAAGAAACTGCCAAAGACTACTTCATAACATGGGAACTATTCTGTAAATGGTTAAATGACAGATATTGAGGTTAGAGGAGTGGAACTAGGTGAAATATGGTTTATAAGAGAAAGAAAAATAGATGAGTAGATATTTCTGACAGTTATATAATGGAAGATAATATAGTTTATAATATGATTGATGTTATCGTATTTGTTTATATATTACTGCATATTTGTTTATATATGATCATAATGAAGATGATGATGTTTGTATGTTTGTATGTGAACAGCTTGGACATCTAGAGAGGACATTGCTCAACATAGAAAAGAAATGTATGATATTAAATAATAAAAAAATATTTCAACAAGAAACTGCCAAAGAGCCATCAGTAAACAGCCCAACCAAACAGCACTTCTTACTACCGGTAGCACTGATGATGTTACCTAGTTAGGGTAATGAAACATCTGCAAGAAAACAAGCAAGCTCAGAGAGCACCAAGAAAAGTGCAGATTTTTATAGTTATGTTATCAGTAGGCGTGCAGAGAAAATAGCCTTGAGAAGTAGAAAACAGCTATGGGCATTGTTTCTGCAAGTCCCTTTCTTCCTGAGATCTCAGTAAAGAAAATGTTGGACAAGTGGTATTGTACAATAATTATATTTGTAATTTTGAATAGTGCATCCGTACTGCTAATAATTGTATCACTAAATACATTAGGAGGTTTTGAATGCTTGATTGCAGGGGTAAACTCACTGTATCAAAGGTTGTGATAAGATTTGAGGGAATCTAAAAGGAGAGTGGAGAGTCAGTATGATTTATTGGTTAAAGGTGTTAGGCTATAAGGTGAGAGAGACTCGTGTGGACTAATCCTGCCTTAGGCACAAAGCCAGCGGAGCAGTCCTTCTCTCTCAGCCATAAGAAGAAAGCAATGCTGCTGAGAAAATTGCATGGACTTGTCCATGGATTTGTCCATGTTGTCATGAGGAGAGAGAGAGAGAGAAGAGAGAAGAGAGAAGAGAGAAGAGAGAGAGAGGGGGAGGGAGGGAAGGAGGGAGGGAAAGGGAGGGAGGGAGATATATTCTGGTAAAGATGCATTTTGAAATTAGTTGGTCAAGAATCACTTCCAAAAGACAAGATGCAAAGGGGTTATTGTGCAATAACTATTATACATTGTGGAATAGGTTGTCACTTGATGTCACACTCATTAACACCTTGTGAAAAGTCACTTGAGCTGCTACCTTGTAAGAAAGATGTGTCAGCTTGTATTTAAGGCAGAGGCAACATACTCCTAAATGGTTCTCAAGTAACTCATAAATGCATCATGTAACAGATTGTTGCCACTTACTCATCCGCAGATCTTACCTTTGAAGGACTAGCGGGAGAATTTCAGGAGCATGTTCTAGCAAATGTCTAGCTCATTTGGCTGAACCAATACATTTCTCAATTTGTTCTGCTGTCACTATTAATATGTAATGTGACACATAAAGTCCTTCATGGCACAAGGCCTGGTTACTTCAAGGATAACCTGTTTCTGAAAAAGTTTGCCTACTTGAGGAAATCTCTGGGTCTTCTCATCTAAACAGTGTCATCTAACTAGAATGGAACAACTCACTGCAGCCAACTCATTGCGGCCAACTCATCATGGCCAACCCACCACAGCCATCTTGCAGCAGCCAATTCACCACAGTCACCTCAACACGGGACAACTCGCCATGGCCAACTCACAGCGGGACAACATGCCAGGGGACAATTTAACCATCCAACTTAATTATTTAAAATAAATAAACATTATTTTAACTTTTTCCATTCACATTTTGTTTTGCACCTTCTTTGGCATCCTTTCTTTCTTGATTCTATTCCATCATTTCTTTGATATTAGTGTAACTCTTGTCCAGCAGTGAGTTGGGCGTGGCGAGTTGTCTCATAACAAGTTGGCTGCAGCAAGTTGACCATGGTAAGTTGGCCTGGTGAGTTGGTCACAGCGAATTGTCATAGATCCTCATCTAGCAGCACCTAAAAGCCTACTTGATTGCCATGCCTGCCCTAAGGAAGAGCATTCCCCCTGAGATTTACATGGCTCCCACTCTTCCTGCCTTTTAGAAGGATCTGGAGATCTAGTCCAGCACGTTAATCAGAAATGAGGTCAGAAGATTTTGTGTCCATTTAATTTGTTTCCAACTGTTCAGGGCTGTTTAAAATTCCTGGACCTCTAACACAAAGGAGTTTTACTATCTTTTAATGTCCTTTTTGAGTTGCTATTTGTTGTTTTTAATTGTATGTGCCATCCTATGTTGCATGTTAATTGGGTGTCTATGTAAATTGATTTCATACTATAAATAACTAAACAACACGAAAGCTGCATGTGTGATTCTTGCACATTCTCAGAGGGACAGTAGAATAACCTGTACAAAAATCCTGATCAGTTTTTCTCTTCTAATGATGCTTTTGGATCTAACCAGGGGGGCATATCAGACCCTTTCCCATGGGTTCAAACATTATTGATTATGATTCCCATTATGGTCATTAACATTAAATCAACAGCAATATCAGTTACATCAGTGGGATAGGTTTTTTTTCCAACAAATTTTTCTGTTTAAGTTCTAGCGTGATGATTTGCTACTAAGAGCTCTAGGTTCTCTCTACCTCACCATCCTGCAGATGTGTGGGGATGTAGACTTCTTGAGCTCCATTCTCTTGAGACTTGTGGAATGTTTTGACCCAACATGTCTAGAAGAAGCTAGTTTGAGGAAGATTGCCCTACTGTGACTTGATTTGTTTGTTTGTTTTGTCTAAAGATAACCGGACAATCATTTGCTATATGCCAAGAGCAGAACTACAAGCATTTGAGTTTTCTAATCTGATATTCCTTTTTAAAGGTAAGTAGATGAGAAAGCAGATGACATCTATATCATCTGAGAAATTTGTTTGAATGATACTCATATGAACCAGTATCGTGTAGATTCTATGGTCAATCTTGTCTAATGCTCCATGAGTAGCAAACATTGTCCAGATTTTCAAAATAAAATTTCCTCACCTTTGTCCACCAGCTAGAATTTCCTTGAAAGAGAAATTGTGTTACATCATGGGTGCAAAGATTAGGCACTCCCCAGATTCTTAATAGCTCATCCTTTTAATTTCTTTCAAGTCTCAACTTCCTGCTTTTCTCATTATAATTAGGCTTGACTGAACAATTTTTTCCTGATCCTCAGCCTAGTAGTCCTACCAGACTATGCAGGCTTGTTCTAATACAATCATAGTAGAGAACAACAGTAAATCAAAACATTGGTGATATATTCCCAGAAGACACATTAAAAACTCATTATTTTACCTCAGCTTGCAGCTCCTTCTCTTCTTGGTAAGTCAGAGTGCGCTGTGTTACTGAGGGATCAATGACCGTCTTCAGGTCTTCTTGTTTCTCTAATCTTACTGTAGCTTCATATTCTCCATCTTTGAAGTCCTCCGGAAGGAAATCCCCTGTTTCTCTACCTTCTGTCTTTTTGCCTGTCATCTATCAAAGAAAACATGTGCCTTAAGATTAGAGTTCCAAAAGGTTGTCCCTGACAAACCAAGACAAAAAAAACAACAACAACCAGATTGTTGCAGAAAGAACTTGTTGATGACAACAAAAATAAAAAAGTGAAATCAATGTCCCAAGGTCATCATGACAGACAGAGACTTGAGGAAAATGGTAAGTGAACTGATAAGAAACCATGAGCTGTACAGTATTGCAGAGAGCAACAGTATGTTTGCGATTAGGCCATTGTGGTTTTTCTTTGAAGGAGTTTCACTTCTGATCCAAGAAGCTTCTTCATGCCACAGTTGTTAAGTGAATTACTGCAGGGGCTAAGTACTCTGACTGGGTGGTGGGAACCTGAAGAAGCTTCTTGGATGAGAAGCGAAATGCCTTCAAAGAAAAACAGAAAGTCCACTTGCCTCTTGAAAAAAGCACCTTTCAGACAACCATGACCTGGATGACTGAGAATCCCCAAAGAAAAACCTGAAGGAAAAGTAGGTGATATTGAGGCTTGGAAAGAGCCAGAGTGAAAAGAGGAAAAGAAAGCAAGGGGACTATCATTATTCCTTAAGAAGAGTGAGCTCAGTTCTGTTGGGAGGTAGGACAAAATAGCACTAGTTATCAAGAGACTAAGTGGTTTGACAAAAACTGTTAAGTTTTGCAGCAATCTGAGAGACAAAGTCAACGGATATAGTGAAATAGAGAAGACCAGAAGAAATCCACCCTGTAGTTCTCCCTCACCCACAAAGGAAAGGGCTGGAGACAGGACAGTAGACTGACTAAGGAAACTGTAGACTGATTGCTACTGTGGACCGTGCATGTATTGAGTTGCAACATCTGACACTCACATTAGGACTTTTGCCATCATAGCAGCCGTGTGACCTGAGACAACAAAAGCCCAGAAGCACTGAAGGATGTCAGGGAAGAGTTTTATATATTAATATGAATTAGCCATACAATTGCTTAGCTGTGAGCAGCTGGTCATCAACTAATACCAGGAATACTACAGGTTGTCCTTGTCTTATGAACAGAGTTGAGCCCAACATTTCTGTTGCCAAGTGAGATGTTTGTTGAGTTTTGCCCCATTTTACAACCGTTCATGCCACAGTTGTTAAGCAAATCACTGCAGGGGCTAAGTAAGTGAATCCGGCCTCCCCATGGACTTTGCTTGAAAGAAAATTGCAAAAGGAGATCACGTGATTCCAGGACACTGCGGCTGTCATAAATATGAGCCAGTTGGCAAGTGTCTGAATTTTGATCACGTGACATGGGGAATACTGCAATGGTCATAATTGTGAAAAACTGTGATAAGTCACTTTTTCCAGTGCCGTTGTAACTTCAGATGGTCACTAGATGAACTGTCGTAAGTCAGGAACTACCTGTATTGTAAGATGAATTTTTACTAATCTTTACCAATATTGACAAATGTATAATACAAAGAAGGAATGATGAGTATTCCCCTTATTTGTTCCACCTGTCACCTCCAGCAACTGTAATTACTAGAGGAAAAAAACAGTTGAATAAGTGTGTGTGAATAAGATCATAAGTCACTTTTTTCAGCCCTGTTGTAACTTCAAACAAGTCACCGAACAAAGTGTTGTAAGTTGAGGGTTACCTGTAGTTGCCTGCAACCAAGCAATAGTTGCCCTGATGATCTGATTACTAGCCACTTCTAACTAAGCACTGGCCTCAGAACAAACAGACAGAAAAGGGAATGAGCTTGAATTAGATTTAACATGTAGAGGGATGGCAATACGTTGAAAGATTTGGATGCTAGTGAGCTCAGATACAGAAATCTCTTACACTGAAGGATGCGTGCCCTTAGTGCATTCAATTCAATTTAAAATCAAGTCTGCAACAGTTCGCAGTATGGAGCAGCTAAAGTTAGAGGTTGCCACAGATCACTGAAATCACTGAAACAACTCAGTGTGACTTCTATAAATTCCAATGCTTCCAGTGGGTTTTAGTCACGACTATGTTTAGCTGGATGAATAGAAATGGTGGACAATCCATCCAAGAATGCAATAGGGCATTAAAAAAAAAATACCCTACTCCCTTGTTCCTCCCCATAGACTGACAGACTCCTATGCCATCTGCTTTTGAAATCCTTTCTGGCTTAGAAAAAGCTTAAAGAGACTTGGGGTACTGCTATTGAGAAATAGAAAAATATCCTGGGTTACACAAAATTTGCCGTGTTGACCTTAAGTTCGTTCACACCAGCTTTATTTGCGAGTTGCTAACAAACTATATATGCATTGAAAGTATAGAAGTCCATATTTTATGAAAGAGATTTCATAAAATCTCTTTCTGATCAAACCATGGTAGTCCATGAAAAAGACCCACTACAGTCCATCCAATTAAATTCAATAATAATACATTCAGGAAATTACACAAGGCTTACCCATATACTTTCACTTTTTATTTTCTAGACCGAATAAACAACAATCCAGATTGTCATACCCATATTCGATGACAAATTAAGCTCAGAGTGGTACAAGCTAAAGGGTTTGCTTGTTTCCCAGTATAAAAATGTTGTGCTATAATTACAGCTAAAGTGTTTGAGATAAGCAACTATTTCAGAAACACTTCTATTTTCTTTCCATTCCTTCACTGTCATTTGCGGCCATTAATAACACTGTCATAAACAGCAGAGGTGACTAGAGGCCTATTAAAGCTAGGTCATTTAAGTCCTGTTTTAATTCTTGATTATGTTGTCTGGAATGGGAGTTGGAGCCAGGCTTGTGTGCCTGGCATAGTATAAGCGTAGCTGAGAATACTTTGAATCACAAGGGATGTTTTAATAACTGTGAACCCATCACAGTCCTACTGGTTTTGTTGTATTTTCTTGTGAACTATCTTGAAAGTCTCAATATGGCAAAAGATGGCATACAATAAATTTTGTTGACACTTAAATAAGACCAAGCTTTAAAAAAAAATAGTTTGCAAGCTAAACTACAGTACAGTATATTGCTACATAAACGACTATTATTAAATGTATACCATGTACTTATACGAAAGAGAGATCATTTTTTCAGAAACAATTTCAGCAATAAATAACCCTTTCTCTATTGGCTTTCAGAATTTTACACACATCATCATTTCATTCATCATCATCATCATCTTGAAACATAGGAGAATGTCATTATTGTCACAAAAGTTGCTAGTGATAAAAACGATGGGACATCAGCTCAGCTAAAGCCATATTCATCTGTGAAACAAAATTCAAAATTCAAATTTTCTCTCTTTGTTCTGTTTGCTCAAAAGGACCACACCCATTCCCCAAGGACATTTTCATTCCCTTAGGTACCACTTTCAATCAAAAGAAGCGATCTGGTCTTAGAGATAACGATTCCTTTGTCACGATGTCCACCCCACATGCTATTGAATTGGAAGTGATGTCCACCTTTAACAAAAATTATCACACAAGGTAGTTTGATACTTACCAGATCTTCTACCAGTAGCATCATCATCATGGCTGTTGGTTGATCAAAAGCAGATGGTACAGTGGAGTATTCCTCTCAAGAAAGATGCCTTTACCGTCCAAGGCAACTTGACTGAGACATGCCAAGCTCTGTTAGTTTATATATCTTTGCAAAAACAACTTCTGCGTGAGATAATCTTCCAACCTGGGAATCCAAACAGTTCAGCAATAGGTGTTTTCACATTCCAGGCATATTAACTAGACAGATCTAGTGTCGAGGATAGGAATTGGAAGGGGGTGTGTGGGTTGAGGGAGGGTGAGGGGAAGAGGAAAAGTCCTGCGGTGTAACGGCCCCAAATATCTGAATCAGTATGAAATACAAGAGCTTCATTCCATTGGCAGTGACTACATAGCTCAGCAATGCTATCCATGCTGGCTGTCCGGTGTCCATTAAGGCAGCTGTCTGCAGATACCTCCCTTATCATAATTGGCTCCCACATGAGCAACAGACACCAGGAGGAGGAAAAAAAGAAAGACAAGGCAGCCCTCGTTTTGTGGATAAACAAAGAAGTAGGTCAACTGATGGAAAAATAATTATTTTGGTGATAGTATGTCCTACTAAGGTTTATAAATAGTTCTGTAGGGAAATATATTCTTTCCCCTGCCCCCATCCCCCCCAGTCTCTCTCTCTCTTTCTCTCTCTCTCACAAACACACACACACACACTCACACACACACACACACACACTTATCATGATGTCACTTGTCTATATTTGTCAAGAAGAATTTTCTGAGGGGATTATGAAGCCAGAGTGATGTCTCTGGTGCTAAAAGGACTGGGTGACATGTTAAGTTACCATCAAGATAAGAATGCAAAACGCTCGCCTGCTTTTCATTTTCTCTGGAATCTGTCACTGCTTATAAACAGGGATTAGGAGTTCTGATTTCAAGGGGCAGGAAGGTGAAACTGCAATTTAGTGGAGGTAAAGACTTCCAACGAAATTGGAAAAGACAGTAATTTTTTTTTAAACAAAAAGCTAGCTCTTGTCCGAGGTATTATGCCTTTTAATGAGGAATTTATGGTGGGCGTTGGAATTTTGGCCCTAAGAAAATATAAAAGATGCAGCAAATCGATAATATCCTGATCTGATTAATTAGTCCTTACTAAAAGCCATTTCAAAGGTTTGTGTACTGGATTCTGAAACCATATTCCATCTCCAAGTGCCCTAGGCAATGTGTAGCTTAAAAAAAAACTCCTACCCTTAAAAAAAATCAAAGTATAAAATATAGATCTAATAAGCTACAGTAAAGAGAAAGAAATATCCTATCAAAATCAATAGTTGTATTAGCAGTAGGAATTTCAAATGAGTATCATCTGTATTTAGGTCCAATTTTACTCCACTACTATGTAACATTGCTATATAAAATATTCTACTGATGGCCATTTCCTTGTCTCAGGAGGAAATAAATTGAAATAGGGAGGGAATCAGAAGATATGCTTGAAGGAGGAGCAGAGTCAAGGGCAAAAGGAGGAAATGGCACTTTATCCTTCAGAAAAATATTGGAGGACATTCCGTGGCAGAGAAACAGATGCTGGGCTAATATTACACAGGGTTAGTTAAAACATGGACATGGGCATGGCCTTAACAGAACTCACCAGCAGGGGTGAAGTCTTTTTATGGATTTACTGATTTGCAACAGAGGCACAATATCAAGAAATAATGTTGATAAGTGAATAAAGGGAATTACTAAAGCTTTACAATTAGTCCTCAATATAACATTAAGAAAAGATTAATTAAACATTAACAAGGTGCAGTGCATTGAGTTAGTTTATGGTATAAAAAAGAATATAAAACTTTGAGCTTATGCCAAAATCTCTAATCTTTACTGTATTGTTAGAGGAGGAGGAGGAAGAGGAGGAAGAGGAGGAGGAAGAAGAAATATAAAATGTTCATGTAGTTTGTGCACACATCTTCCATTTCTCTGTGTGAAGTTGAATAATATTTCTTGAATCATAATCTTTTTTTTTTCTTAAATGTGACAACTGCATATCATTTGTCATAAAAAAGCAGGAAATATGAAAAGCTCCTTAGCCTGGCCTTTCCTGTATTGCATTGTCTGCACTGATTGATAGTTGTTCTCAGATTTTCAGACCAAGGGATGAAATCTGCAATGGAATGTTTGTCAACTGTGTAGATGACATAAGCAAGTTGAGATTGTTAATGCTTTAGAAAGTAGAAACAAAATTCAAGAATATTTGATAAGTTAAGGAAATGAGCTGAATGTTCCTTGATTTAAAGACATGCAAACAAATGAAGAGATATAGGTTAGTAATAATACTTCTGAAATCAATTTTAAATTGTAATTGATTGAAAAATCAATACATGATCAATCATTCTTTTAGGTTCAACCAATAGAAATAGTAACACTGGTTTCCAAATCAAATAAATAACTGTATCCATAGTACACTGGTTAAACCCCACTTCAAATATAGTGATCTGCCCTAAACATCAGATTTAAGGGCCAGGGAAAGTAAATATGGCCCATTAAAGGCATTGAGGATGGCTAGGGACTGGAAACTGAAGTCCTTTGAAGTCAAAACGAAGAGGTTCAATATGTTTTGCCTTGAGAAAAGATGGCTGGGGTCAGGGAAAGAGTATTTATTTTTATTTATTTGATTTGTCAATTGCTTACAAGATGATAAGTATAAGTATATACATAGTTATGAATACATGAAATGGGTACATATAAGAAAAATAAAAGAAACAAGGACAGTGACGGTAGGCATGTTGGTGCGCTTATGCACGCCCCCTACAGACCTCTTAGGAAAGGGGTGAGGTCAATAGTAGACAGTCTAAGGTTAAAGTTTTTGCGGTTTGGGGAAGAAACTACAGAGTCAGGTAGAGTATTCCATTTACTTGCTTATTTGACTCATATGTCTGCCTAGCTTATGAAAGCATGGTTCAGTACCTAATAGAGTGTTACATGGAAGAAGACCATGATTTGTTTCAGAGGACAAGATATGGAATAACATATTTTGAAAGTTTGGTAATAATATGAGCAATTCGATAAGAGAACCAATTTCCCAGGAAGGACGGCAGGTTTCCTCCTGGAAATGTTTAAGTAGAAGGTGGATGATCATTTTTGGAAGATACTTTAATTTGGATTCCTGTAATGGTCAGAAGGCTGGCCATAATGGCTTCTTTTTGATACTATGATTCTTATCTTACTTCAGTTATTTGTGAGATAGAAATTTTAAAAAGCAATCAATACAATCCACTTTAATTTGTTATACCTTCTAGCTCAGGGGTGTCAAACTCAAGGCTCGTGGGCCAGACCCAGTGCTTAAAACTGGCCTGTGGGGCAGGCCTGGAAATAGCAAAGGACTAGCCTGCGGTGCCTCTGGCAGCCAAAACAGGGCGTGGGGGGCACGCATACCCTCCTATCCCATTTTTGGTCTGGGTGGCCTCCTGCAGCACTCTGCCAGCCAAAATGGGCCTTGGGGGCTGTATGAGTCTCGGCACCCCGTTTTGGCCAGGAAAGTGCTGCTGGAAGCCGTCCAGGTAAAAATGGGGCACGGGGGCATGTGTGGCTCCCTCGCGCCCCATTTTGGCTGGCAGAGTACTATAAGAGGCCTTTCAGGCTGAAAACAGGGTGTGGGGGGCACACACAACCCCTCCATGCCCCATTTCGGCTGGTTGGAGGCATCCATCCCATCTCCCCACCCTGGCTGGCCCGCAGAGAAGTACAATGCTGATCCGGCCAGTGGTGGGATTCATTTTTTTTTTTTTTACTACCGGTTCTGTGGGTGTGGCTTGCTGGGAGTGGCAGGGGAAGGATACTGCAAAATCTCAATTCCCTCCCCACCCCACTAACCTGCTTTTCAGCTCCGTTCTCTTGTGCGGGGCAACAAAAGAAGTCCCAGCTGATCAGCTGGGACTTGGAAGGCAGAGATTAGATGGGGACGGGACCAGTCAGAGGTGGCATTTGCCGGTTCTCTGAACTACTCAATATTTCCGCTACCGGTTCTCCAGAACTGGTCAGAACCTGCTGAATACCACCTCTGGATCCAGCCCTTGAAGGAATCCAGTTTGATACCAGAGGTGGTATTCAGAAGGTTCTGATCAGTTCTGGAGAACCGGTAGTGGAAATTTTGAGTAGTTCGGAGAACCGGCAAATCCCACCTCTGACTGGCCCCGCCCCCATCTATTCTCTGCCTTCCGAGTCCCAGCTGATCAGCTGAGTCTTCTTTTGTTGCCCTGCACAGGAGAATGGAGCTGGAAAGCAGGTTAGTGGGGTGAGAAGGGAATGGAGATTTTGCAGTATCCTTTCCTTGCCACACCACACCAAGCCATGCCATGCCCACCAAGCTACGCCCACCGAACCGGTAGTAAAAAAAAACGAATCCCACCACTGTTCTAGCCAAATGCTGAACAATGTCCAAGGGATAACTAAAATTCATTGAATGACAATGAAAGTATTCATTCAAGAAAAACAACTTTGGCCTGCTCAAAAGTGGCCTTCAAACGTAGCCATCTCCTACTGAAATCAGTCCCCTGATCAGTCATTCAAGGATGCCTTCCTTTCCTTACAACGTACCTGTCCTCACTCCCACCAACATATATGTAGATTTGTGTGCATGCGTAAGTGTGTATTCATATCCTACTAGTATGTTGGAGGCAGTGCAGAATGACCCTTGGAATTCCATTAAAATTTCATAGACTCCATAATAGTTTAAACCAGGGGTGTCCAACCTTGGCAACTTTAAGACTTGTGGACTTCAACTCCCAGAATTCCTCAGCCAGCTTTGCTGGCTGAGGAATTCTGGGAGTTGAAGTCCACAAGTCTTA